AGAGTGCTGCTCCGATTTCTTCGATAGCTCCAGCCATCCCCCTGTATGCCATCTGGGCAGTTCCACGATAGTCTATTCTTCTTCCTACTCTCCATCACGGCGTTTTCTCGACATGTCACTAGATGGCCAGGCCAACCAGGCTTTTCACCTTGCTGAGACGCTTAACTGGAACCAGGTTTGCCTGGGAGGATAAAAACACCGCCTTAGACATCGGCTGGTCACACCTCATTTAGTGAGCTACTACGATTCTAAATAGAAACAACAAACGTGCCGCATCCCGAAACAGGGATTGATCAATGAATAAAAGGTTTATTCCTCCATCCTTTATACCACCGGAACTCTGGTTTGGTTTCAAGACTGATTTCAAAATTAGCCGACTGGTGTAACTCTTCCTGTCACTGGTTCAGCCCAGAAATCTCAGAACTTGCTCCACTTCCGCAGCACAAAAGTGAGTGGTGGGAGGGGTGACTAGCCGCGAGAAACGCAACCCGTAAAAGATGCACCGCCCATATGGAGACGAGATATGCTGGTGGTCTTATGCCCACGAACACAGATAGGCACTCTCTTGTATTTGGGACAGTGTATGCCAATCGCTTCTTCCTGTTCTCTACTCCTCTGTATTTGGTCACAAGCCCGCACGCCACTTGTGAGTTTTTCTCTTTCCCCGCCCCCCCCCCCCACTAAGGATCAACGGGCTAAGAGTGCTGACTTCATGTCTATGTCGCGCTTCGGATGTCCTGAAAGACACCTAGCCGGCAACTGTGTTGTCTGCATGTGCAGCACCTTCGTGGAGAGCCGTTATGGTTCCATGTGGAAGCTATTGCGCCAGCCGAGAGACTTAGTTGAAGTGTTGTGAAAGAAGTTTTTTTCTGCTGCGTGGATTTTTTCGGCCCCTGCAGGAACAAAGTTGACGAAATAGCGCAATGATAAATGAATCGCCAGGACAAACAGTGTACAAGAGTGGAGAGGAGTAGTTTCTATGCTCCGCTGCTCTAAGGTTATCAGCCTTCAGAAAAACATAACTAAATCTGCAAAAGTTGACCCACCCATAAGAGCAGGAGTTTCTGTTTGGTAAGCATTTGCGCTGAACGCCTTGATCAAGTTCAACAGTTGCCATGGGATCGATGCAGCTATCGAGAGCAGCAGCGGTAGCCATCGCTAAATACGAACCAATATAGTACTTAGAAAAAGTTATCTACTTCAGTTACACATTCCACGATAGATCGATGGGCGGGGACGCATGACCATCCTACACTAACGCATCCATCCCGTTTACTATATTATAGAGGGGGCCCACAATGGTTGTAACTCTCCACCCAGCTGATTATCAAGGGATTTGACTCGCAAATGAAGTTTTTCACAGCTGCGCGGCATCAGTGATGGGGGTGCATCCATGGTCCTCACAGTTTTGAACATCTCGAAAAAGCTCTAAAATGTTTCTTTCTAACTGTCAGACTGTAGAAACACGAGAACAATTTATACTTGCAAAATAAACAAATATGGAAAAACCGGATTTGCAGATAAATTAGGCAGTATTAAGGATTGCTACACGTTTGAGAAATGTCACGTGGTCTCACTGACCCGGTGCGCAGCAAAGGAATTGTTGCTCGACGCTGGACGAACGCAGACAGCGCATGTATTTGTTTTTGTTTTTGAAAATCCTGGACATGACGAGCTTTGAAATGATGGCGTGCAGTACTAAAAAAGTCATATCTGAAAAAATAATTCCTATAACTGACGACAAACAAAGCAAAAGGAACATTTGGTCGACTAGTTGACTTTCGAAACTTCATTCTGCCAGAAGGACCTGCCTCCCTGATCATGCACATATAGTTATGATAACTTACCGGAAACGCCGGCAGAGAATCGTAAACTGCCGCTTTTAAGCGCGCGCCAACGCGGATATTTCTAATTTGAATACCCTTCCGATTGGAGATCGGATTTCATGCAAGACATGGTAGACAGGTCGATTCGATGTATTACGATTCTCTTGCCGCGTACCCATTACTTTACCAACAAGACCTCGATCGCGGTCGATAAATACGTCATCTGGGATAGTCAGCATAATCTCACGAATTGCTGGAAAGCTGGCAAACGACCACAACTGGTGCGATTACTGACGCCACGCCAACCCAGCCCTCTGACCGTGTCGAACATGAGGGATATGCACAACCAGGCTTTGACTCCGCGCGCTTAGGTGACATTTTAGTACCGTGCTGAATACAGTTTTGATGAGACTAGTTCCTTTCAGCCACGGCCTCCCAACATTTTGCCGGCAAGTGAAACAGGACCGCTGCACCTGTAGAGCCGCGGCTCTTGATCCATGCCGTTTTCTTTGTCGTGTGTAATGGTATAGCGTGAAGTAAATATGCTTCATGGTAAGTAAATGGATGCCATTCTTACCGTAATTACACCACCATTTGGTGACCAGCCATTTGGACATGGGTTTACCTCTCGCTGGCGTATGATTGTTGACTGACAGGCGAACGTGACGTTAGGAATATGCCTGCAAAATATGACTCTGTAATTCCTTACTTTATTCTGAAAATTCCTACTCTCTAATTTCAAACAAATAATAGCCCATTTGATGCATTGAGAGGTCTTTCGCCCACGGCCGAGAGACTTTTAGATCCTGCTACACCCTTTTTGCGCCGCGACAGGCAGGCTAGAAACAGACTGCTTCCCTGAACTTTGAGGCGAGAACGAAGCAGGCAGCATCGAGACACATTCCTGCCCTGTAAAGGTATTCTGCTACTGTGCATCCCCCACCTTCCTCGTCCGTTACGATCCAGATCCACATCAAGCGTATCATTTTGCCAAGCTTTGCTCAAAAATTGCAGTTGAGTGAATGGAGAAGGGGGGGGAGGGGAACAGGCACTCCCGACCAACTACAAGGACTAGCAGTTTCGCAGCGCTGCAGAGTAGGGACGTATATTATGCGCGTGAGGCGGGAGAATCAGCTCAGATCCTACGCCTGCTACAACCCCCTGCTCTCGCGCGACGTATCCGTTGCCGGTCCTAACAACGACAAAGCGTCATTCAAAGATGCTCCAAACAAAACCCTGCTCAATGACCTTCATACAACGAGTTTTCATGTTAGTCTCGGTGATAGTAACCTTTCTCATTGAAAGGGCTCTTTATGCATAACCTGCAAAGAAGACAATCTGTGCTTACTTCTGGAAGGGGTAAGAGCTATTTGTTCAATGAATCTGGAGGGACGAGTTCTTTCTGTTGTGTGGAGAGAGATAGTCCATTGTTTGTGATGTAGATGAAGACCGCCTTTCTAGGACAATCGATTCAAAGCTCCACCCCAAGATCAATTCAGATGTGGATATTTAGGATTCAGGACGCGAAGGTGACGGGCCGGTTGCTCACCCCTACGTGTCGCGGTTCATAATCCCGGTTGACTTCACCAGGCCATTAAGCGTTTCCTACCCTCGGGCGATCGGGTAAATTGGGTACCAATCGTTTGGAGGATAACAACACTTGACTTGTTATATCGGCGTCGAGCAAGCCCGCAAGTCACTGAATAGGCCACACAGGCATTGGAGTGACGCTGCCGCAATCCACAAAATGGTTGATCATGGTCGGCGACTTCATCTTTTTTTACTTATCACTAACTTCGTTTTATGATAAAACGGCTCTCCAAAACGCTTCACTCACCTTGGCATACACTGCTTATCACCACATTGCCACGGCTCTCCCAGATTGCATTTCTGGGGGAATCGTGAACTCGGATAGGGTACCGAGTATCCAGGACAGGTGTATTCTATCTGAAGGAGAGCATAGTGTGGAAAAGAAATTCAGTTGTCTGGATTAAGAATGCTTTGAAATATGTACCTGTTCGCAACAGAGCCGCTGAGAGAAAATGTTTGTGGCCATACACTGTGATCCAGCTGGGCACGTATTGCCATTTCGAGAAGTGCAAGCGGTTAGACGACCTGCAGATGGAAATATAGAACCTTTGGTTATACATAAAACCCGTTCGAGTACAACGGTTGACGGAGAACATTTATCGTTTATCACACTCTTTTAGTCTACAGGCTTGAACTGCTATTCAGCAGTGTCTGGAAGGCAGCACACAATGAAGTCGCACCGGCTTAGCTGCGGCGGTTTCCCCTATTATCTCCTAGACATAGGAGCATGAGGAACACCCCAAGTATCACCACTACTTCGGAAGGAATATACGACTAAGATAGTGCTTTCTCGATAACAACTTTTCCTTATTTCTCCAATACTGAGCAGTGTTCTCATGGTATTGCACGCGAGTTTCGTGTAGTGGCAAGTGGCGCCTTTCGCCACACATACAGCCTGACAGTTGGATGCCCAGTTAGACCCTATATGAGCTAACCGAAACCTCCACTGATTCGTAGTCGATAGTATCCTACAAAACTCGTCTGACAAAAACCGAGAGGGTAGAATCAAAAGAGTGCAGAAACCCTGATTTACCTCTTGATTCTACCCGTAAATCACTGTATCGGACAAGTCCCATGTCAAGGCGAATTCGTTGCGCATTCCTCCCCATCACGCACATGGCAAGAACCCATTTTGTAGGTGAGCGTGCAGCGTATTTCTAACGGAAATGCTATTCGCTTTTGAAATCTTACCGAACTTATCCTGCGTAGGTTGATTGTTGTCGGGACAAGCGCCCGGTGAACCGCAACAAATATTGTTCTCCGCACAGTGGTAGCCATTCGGGCAATCCTTAAACAACAAAACTGACGTGAAATAATTTGGAAACGTACTGCACACTTCCCCTGAGAGAAGCC